GTCTGAAATTTGAACTACCAAACCTAACTTCAGACCAAGATTTGAAGTTAGTCCTCTGCGGCGCGATTTTCATTTATCACTAGCAACTTCTTTGTAAGCTGTAATAGTAATATACTGCAGTCGGTAGAAATTTTGTTTAGTAACAATTTTGTACAGTTCTTGGATGCCCATATCCACTTCTGATACTTGGAACATGCTTGAGAGTATCAAGTCTAGAGTTCGAAAGAAGTCCAAACGTAGCAATCATTCTCATTGTACATCAGAAAGATCTATAAATAGTAAAAAAGACTGCATAACTATAACACCATGAGCTTTGTAGCAGCAGTTGTGGGACGGCTAGCAAGAAGAGGAGGATTAAACATCATTTTGTCTGAAGTTTGCAGCGCTACAGGAATGTTTGAGGGTGATCACTCTTGCGAATTTGGAACAGAACAAATTAAAAGATCAAGTGTAAAGTTTTTTGACTTCAAAGTTACATTTCACAGATGAAATATGAATATCTTTGAGAGTTTAAAGTTAAATTTTTATAATATTTTATATCATAAAAACAAATTGAAATATGACTTTTTGGATAATTTTTATCTATAACAACCAAAGCTCCATTATCGAATATTAACCAATTTATGAAAAATATTTGTTGCAAGAACACTTAATAAAGAAAAGAAGAGAACTACTTTCTATCTTCATTTCAAAAACTGATTTTGGATCAAAGATTAAACTTTTAATTGCTTCTTTCACCAGCATGGCATAAGTTGATTCTTCCGAGGAACCAGAAGCACAACACTGAACCGAGGCGGATGCAGAAAAAGAAATGTCTCTAAAGAATAAAACCAAAGCAAAAAAGAAAAGAAGGTAGTAGCTGGTGAGTCCCTTCCAGAGCCGAAGTTCAAAAAGAACAAAGAAAAAAGAAAAAAATAGGCTTCATTAAAAGGGATGTGGTGGGATGAATGGAAGTTCGAGCCCCGAGAATGGAGAAATTCTTGGTAGGGAGCACTTCTCCCTTGAACAGGTGTTACAAGACACAAATATGAATTAGTTGGGCTAGTGGGTACCGGCTATCAGATGGTTATACCAAAAAAATATGGCATGCTTTTTTTTTTTTTTTTTTTTTTTTTTTTTTTTTTTTTTTTTTTTTTTTTTTTTTTTTTTTTGTGTGTGTGTGTGTGAGTGAGGGAGAGTGAGCGAGGGTCATGCTCAGCACGAGCTGTGGGAATAGGTAGAGTAGCGATACAAGGGGGAAAACCTATATTTATATCCCCTTTGACACCAAAAACAGTAGAAAAAAGAAAGAAACGAGAGCTCTTCAAGAAAAGAAGGAACTGCTTACATACAATAATAGACCAGTCACGACGCAAAATTGCAGAACAGATTGATTAGAACAGGTTGTACAACATCAAATGTTTTCAGGTTTCGCATCATTCTGCATATTCAATTTCTTGCTCTCAGCAACAGGATTGTTTTGATGTAAATGCGGAGCAGCCGATAAAACCTTCTGGCCCTGATCAGCAGATACAGCTTTTGGACAAGTAGTGCTTACAGATTCAGACAAAGATATGGATGTCATGTTGAAACCACTCTCTCCTTCAGGTAGAGATGTCGATAATGCATTCATTGTGCCCCCCGTTTGGGATAAAGAGGCACCACTTGCCTTCTCAGTTTCTGGCAAACTGGGAGGTTTAACCTTTTGTGATCCATCGGTTTCAGAAGATGGTGCATTGCCCGAATTTGATAATAGGGAAACATCTGGTTCAGAGCTTTTACTCGTTCCATCTTTTCCTCCACCTACAACATAGAGTTACAGATCAGCTTGGAGAGGAAACAAAGATGTATGCACTACTTGACATTGATAAGGATAAATGAAACTAGTTTATCACCTATATTGGAAGCTGTGGCAGGAGATGCATTTGCACTTGAAGGCAACGAGCTTCCAGTTCCTTTTTTTATCCTTGACTGCATGGAATTCAGCATTTAAAATTCATCAGTTGTGAAATGACCATCTATCTTATTTTTCCTTTTCATTTCCTTCTTGACCTTTTTTTACATGCTCTTAATAGCCAAGCAAAAAACAAAAAACAAAAGACATCTTGAACTAGCACGAGGGAGTTCTAGAAACAGAGTATCATAAGCTAAACGCAAAATAGAATTATGTTACAGGCTTTGGATATGTTCCCTATAGGAAAGTGTGTAAGTATCAGGTACCTGAACCTGTAAAGCTTTACTGATTCCAAATATAGTTCAGAGAAAGGCCACTAGGTAGCCCTACCCTGTCAGCCTTAGACAGCCAGGTCAAAGCAAATAAGGGATCCATTTAACAAAGAATAGAGATTAAAAAGGAGAAAATATTGAATTGAAGGAGCCACATCTTTCTACAGTTTATGTAATTTGGGAGGTAAGGGGAAAAGGGAAATCAAGAGGTAAGAAAAAAACCAATTTGGCTATAAGGTTAGGTAAGCGAAAAGTATTCCCTGCTGTTCGAGTTTAGACCACAATGCATAAGAGGATGTTACAGCAGAGCACCTCAAGTGTGCAGCTCTATTCACTACACTTCTAAATCAGCAGTGATATCGTATGTCAAGGTCTTAGATTTATTGGTGATTGATGACTCACACTCACCTGAGCGCGCTAGAAATTAAACTAGACTAATTCGACAAGGATGGATGTAATACCTTGGAATTTTCTTCACAATACTTAATAGCAGCTGAGACATTTGTGCAATGGCCATGCAGAAGTGTGTAGGCCCACAAAAGTAGCTTCCGTGAAGTGTTCATATCGAGTATGTCAACTGCATCTATCCCAGGTTGGATATATGTTTCCGTAGCAAATTGAGATGGCACCATATAAAGGTTTACACCTGATGGGAGCAATGCACAAAAAGTGTCCTTATAAAAATTATAGCAACACCTAAGCAACATAGAAGCAGTTTCCATATCTTCATCTGCAACTCTCTTTACTATTACATTTTTTATCTTAGACAATGAAGGGTTCCACTTCCTCTCAAGATCCTTCAAATGATTCATGTCCTCAAAAGATGAACTCCATAGTTCATCCAGTTGGAGATCAACACAAAGCAGTTGTGAATTCTCTAATCCATTAGCTGGCGAATTTGGAACTTGCACTTCACTAGAGAGTCTTGAATGCAAAGGTGTTATTAAGGCCATGCTAATAACAAGTGACCGACACCAAGCAGCAGAAACATGCTTATGAACTTTTGCGCAGTTACTATTCGACAGCTTTGGGTTCTTCAAACGCTTGCGTATCTTCTCATTTATTCCTTCAAGCGCTTCAACTTTGATATTTTGCTCTAAAGACTGGATATATCGATAAAGATATCTGCAAGGAATGTTAAAATGGTATCTGTATAAGCATACTGCTTTGAGTTTAAGCAAACAGTGGACTTCATAGCTTCAAGGAATTTGAGGTATTCCACAAATGCTCATGGTATCATTTCTATTGTTCAAAGCCTGGTTAGGACTCAGATGAATAAACAACAGAGACACTTCTGGGACACACTGGAAAATTCATACATTCCCAAAAGTGAAAAATATATAAAATACTTGATGCAAGGACAATATCTTGATAGTACATGCAATTTTAATGAGAATATTGAGCAACTAACACATGTATAAGTGCTCACTCTATCCAGATTGTTATCAAATTACATCTATTTCTTGTAGTTCCTATTTGTGCACCAATACTTTTCTTCTTTTTTTTTAAGAAGAGCAAGTTGTGCACCACCACATTTTATAGGAACAAAATTATACAATATTTTGATAATCCAAAAATCATTCATTGCATATCACACCAAGATGGTGTCAGTACAAGAGGTAAACAATAAATATCCAAACAAATCCTTCTAACTAATGTCTCTTTTTTTTTTGAAATGATAACAGGTTTCATTGATATATAGATAAATCTCAGCGCCAAGATAGTGCTGAGAGAAAAGGTCCCTAGTTACAAGACCTAATGTCTCTTTTACATCAAAAACCCAAATAAAACAAAATATCATGTTTGATACTAGAACAAAATTATACCTGAACATAGTTCTTAGATAAGAGAGCAATTATTTCCTTATACCTTTGTTATTTTGCTCAGCTTACAATTGGTGTAGATCAATATTGAGACTACAAAAGAGATGGGAAAAATCCTTCTTTTTTATTACTATAGAGATGGAAAACAAATTTTTTCGATTGCAAATGTAAGCAAGCTGGAAACCACAGAAAAACTTCAAGTTAGTACAGCACACATAAAGTTGGGGTCACTTCAAAAGAACTTACCCAAATAAACAGCTCTCCGTCAACTCTGAGCTCTTTATTTCTGGTAAGCCACAAATATCAGACCACATGGCTACCTGTTCCATGAACAGAGAGAACATTTTCTCCAGATGATGCTCACTAGAGTTGCTAGCAGCACAAGACATATGGTCAGTTTGATGTATAGATGAAATTAATGCCTTTAAGTATCGTCCAAGAGCAACTGGAATGAGATCTTCAAGGCATAAGGAGAACTGGATGAAAAATATATATATGTTAGGCAAGGGAGTTTTCATTAAATAAGAAATAGAGGTATAACTAAATTTACAACAGTGGTTGAGTTAATTAAATCAAAAAGAACGGCCAGAGCTTTAGGTTCCATGTTAGTATCCAACAGAACAGGCAACGACGAGAGAATTGAAAGAAAGGAGGGTCTAAATTGGTTATAATAAAATAGAAAGTTTAATCAGATGATCTATAACATAAAATAAATGTTCTTCCAGACGCTTTTTATTTTTTTTCCTGCATTATTTTTCCATGGTATTATACAAGTAAAACAACTCTCTCTGTATTTTCTACTGACTGTTATTCCAACTTGTAAATCTCTAAGATATGGCATGAGGAATGCTTTCCTATAAATAATAAAACTGAGCATTTGTGTCAGAAAGTTTAGCTATTAGAAATGCTTTCTTATAGATAAATAAAATAAAGCAACCTCAAAGGGGCTTTGCTAATATGCAACCTCAGAAAGGGGTGACGCGATAAGGTGTATAAAGAAGAATATTTTTTTTTTCATTAGGCTAATCATTAATGCTGCTAATCATTGTGAACAAAGTATGCATCCAATTCATATGGCAGTACCCTCTTATCTGTCCTAAGACAGAAATAAGCCCGATCAAGGGTACATATGTCTCCTGTCTCCTCCAGCAGTTTTAAATAGAATAATATGTACTTGCGGATGCAAGTAATGAACTTCCGAGAACTTTCTGCCAAGTTAACTTCTAGGGCTCTCCTGTTCCCTGAGCAACCTTGGGTTCTGCGCCTGCAATATGAATATTAAAAACATTGATCTGCATGGCTTAACTCATTGAAATTATTAACATTCTGAATCAGATAACGAGGCAAGAAATGTGGCTCCAATACTGACCAGGTAATGGACCTCAAAAGAGATTCATCTAGGAACATGATTATAATTGACTTTGCCCCTCGTTACCAAGTTCACCAGGTTCAATAAATAAAATGTTTCCATTACTGTATCATTTGATGATTACAACAACCTAAAAACCTCACATTTCCTAACAAACATAGGCATTCATCAATTTGAACATCAGTTCCAGTCGGTCACATTTCCCTAAATTGTGATAGTGACATATCTTTCTCTCCTACTTGTGAGTGATATAACCTATTCTTGAGAGTCGCAACAAACTAACTTCTGCAATTGCTTACTCACCACGCCCAACAATTTGCAAAAATTGTGACATACATCTAAAGGGTCAAATCAATAGACTCAGTCCCAGCTACGCCATACGTAACTCAATCCTAGTGTACGACAATACAAAGTGTGACCAATGAACTTTGTATGTCAGTCAACAAAACTGTAGGAGATCTTACAAAATGGCTTCCGTTTCAAGATCTTACTAGGAGGCAGTGGCATGGGCATCTTTGTCTCTTGATGGATGCTTACAAAAGATTACGTAGTGAAACAATATTTTAGTGGCTTGGGATGCTTCAGGTGAGATAAATATTTCTTGAACACATCTTTGGTGGAAGCATCCGCGGAGTAGGGAGGTTGAGCATGCAAAGTATATGTTGTCTAAAGTGTCAAACCGAGAAGATCCCCTACAGCTTATCCACTTCCCATTTACAAACAGTCACGGGAAGAGATGTCTCCACTCTAGATCTGTGCATGTACTTTATGGTCTACATTGATGATATAATTATCAGAGGTGATGAAGAGGGAATTACCAAGTTGAAGCATCATTTTTTTTCCAGCACTTTCAGACCAAGGACCCTGGACAGTAGATACTTCCTAGGTATGAGGTTGCTCAATCCAGATCAGGCATTTCTTGAAATTCTTAATAAGACAAGAATGATAGACTTTAGGCTCATTGATACTCTGTGGATCCGAATGTTAAGCTTCTACTAGGTTACGGGGAGCCTCTTAGTGATCCTGGAAGATATAGGAGGTTGATCGGCAAGTAAATGACCTCACTGTAACTCGGCTTGACATTGTTTTCCCAGTGAGAGTCATAAGTCAATTCCTGGATTTTCCTAGTGATAGTAACTGAGAATGAATTTGTTTGTATCCTTCGATACATAAAATATGCTCCAGAGAAAAGACTACTCTACGAAGATAGAGGACATGAGCATATTGCTGGATATACTAGAGGACAGATTGGGCAGACATATGATCTCCCTCCCGATACTGCATTCTGGTTGGGAGAAATCTATTTGTCTTGGAAAAGTAAGAACACAACGTAATTGCAAGATCAAGCATAGAAGCAGAATTATCGGGCTACGGCAGTGGCTATATGTGAACTCACACGGATCAAGTAACTGCTAACAGAACTACAATTAGGAGGGATTGACCAAATTGAACTTATGTGTGATAATCAGGCTACACTTTATATTGCATCAAATCCAGTGTTTCATGATAGGACCAAGCACATAGAAATTGATTGTCATTTCGTCATAGAAAAGATAATCTCAGGAGACATTGTCATAAAGTTCATGAAGTCAAATGATCAACTTGCAGATATAAACATCAAGTCCCTTAACTTTCTCAAAAAAAGGTATATATTATGTAGCAGGCTTGATACATACCATTTGTATGTGCCAACTTGAGGGGAGTATTAGGGTCTTGTAAAATAGTAACATATCAATCCAAAATCAAGTAGATTGCTTTATTTCCTGTAGTTATGTAATTTTGATTTTCATTCTTTCTTGGAACATGTAGACTTCACTATCTAAACCCCCAATAGCTTGAGGGAATAATCAAGCAATGTTGTTTTCTCAATCTTCTCTTGTTTGTTTCATTTCTCTCAATGTGTGTTTTGGAATGATTTGCGAGAAAGGAACAATAGAAAAAGAAACCTGTATGGACATTCAAGGCTCTTTTTACTTCCATTTATATATTATTATTTTTTTGGGAAAGAAACTATCTTATTATATTATATATACACTTGGATGGATCTTTGGAATCTCAGGGTTGATCTTTCCAATAGCTTGTGTAGATGGGATGGCAACCCTTTTATACCATATACTAAAGCTGACAACGCCTTGGTGTGATATTCAACACCAAGATTTTGATTCAATTAAATAAAAGGGCCTTCCCTAAATAAAGAGAGAACAATCTAGGAGGAATCAGAAAATGTCGTCAACGTGCCTCCTCGATGTGCTAAATGATAGGACAGAGAAGAAAATAGAAATGCATACCTTCCCTTTTTAACCATACTGTCAATCTCCCACATGTTTATTGTGAATGAAGAACGAGCCGACTTAAAGCAGAAAGAAAGTTCCTCCTTTGCCTTCCCTAGATCCATCTTCCCACCTCTTCGATATAGGCCTTGAGCAAGCATATATCTAGCCTTATGAAAATGTTTCAGGTCCCCTTCCACACATATTTCAAGGGCAGAAAGACAATCATTGTAAAGCATCTGCCACACCCCTTCAAAATGTGAATCCCCTTTTACATCATTTACAAAGTAAGCATCGGGAGTTCTATCCTCGGAGCACGTTGATTCTGAAATTGATGGGCAAACCTTACTGAGGATATCCATCACAGTATCCTGAGTCGATTCATTGAAACAGTGCGCAGCAACAACCTAAAATGCATCCGGGCACTAATTAAGTCAACAATTGTACTCCTACCACATGGAAAATGACCACTTGAAAAAGGTAACTATTTCCAAGTCTGGCCAGAGAAGGGGCATGCAGATTAAAAGTATTCAGAAGTAAGCATTAGTTTAGACATGCAGTCCTTCCTGTCCCAGATGCAATTGTCAGGGTATGTTTTGGGAACTCTTCGGTGATGAGCTATGAAGAAAAAAAGAAAACGACGCACATGCTGCTGAAATTCATGAACCTATATAGGTTGCTGATTAGAGAAGAGCGTTATATAATACACAAAGCTGAACTCTAAGCAGGCTATGCTTAGAATAATCTAGTGAAACATATTTCTGTTGCGCTTGTATATATATTTTGAAATGTGGCTTTGCTGTGTATGTCTCTCGAAATTTTACATACAACTGGAGATAGATTAGATCTATGAACAAATAGATTAGATCTATGAACAACGAAAAGAGCTAAAACTAAATTAGCTATCTTCACGGCTGTCAATACACACCTGTTCGTGTCATAGTTAGCTTACATGTATAACTGTCACAATAAAAGAGGAAACAGAAAGGAGCTAAAGCAAGTTTCAGAAAAGCACCAACCTTCAAGGCCTCCTCATCTTGTTTCCTACATGTGCAAAGTAACTTCAACCGTGAAGCATGCATCCTATAGAAAGAATCTGCAGCAGATGGATTCAAAGCAATAGCTTTAGCATAGAATGAAAATGACATCTCATGTGAGTATCCAAGCTTCTCGGAGAGTTTTCCCAGATAGAATGCATGCGACCAATCCTCCCTGAAATTGCAGGCTAGGTTACATTAGATGAAGAAATAATCAAGGGAAAAAGAGTCACCAAACAGACTTACTTGTGTGCAAAGGCCTTCTGAAAGTGTCTCATTGAGTTTTGACAGAACATCATCCATGCTGAATCTTTGGACGGCAAAACAGATCTTTGATCATAGATTGGTACTACATTCTGAAGACCATCATAATATACTAATGCCAATAACTCATGTATCTCAGCCTGAAAGAAGCAGGAACAATCATATGTAGACTGTGAGAACGAAATGCACTAACACACTCTTAGCTCCAACATTAACTTTTTTTATAACGTAAGGTAATTATTATTAAATAAAAACTGGCAGAAGTTAATCAACATAGTCAAATGCCAAGCAAACTGAAAATTGTTAACACCTAAGTAAACATTCAAATCATTCTATATGTTTGACAGGAGTCAGGACCGCCAACCAAACAAGAAAGAAAAAGAAACCTTGATACATGAAACTCGTGTAACATCGGAAGATTCAAACTCCAACAACGGGTCTGTCCTTGATTACTCCTAGGATGGCAATAAGATCTAACAAAAGCAAAACCTTCACCCACAAGTTATCAGAGTGAAGCAAACCTGTTGATCTGCTGTTTTGGCTAAAGCTAAAGTCATCAACAAACATCGTCTGCTCCTTCTGCGACTTGCCTCAACTCTCTCAGATAAAACAGCATTTTTCCTCCATACCAGAACATTTATTTGCTTGCTTCCATCATTTAGCAGCAAGTCTACCTCCTGCGTACCCAAAAGATGTTCAAAAAACAAAGAGATTAAGAAACTACGACGCCCACGAACTCCCCACAGTATAAAACTGCCTTCAGTTAGGGAATATATAGCCGCAACAGATAGACTGCAGAACAATCTTACCTCATCATATATATTTGCAAGTTTCTGCCAACTCTCCAAGCGTAGGAGATTGTAAATTAAATCATATTTGATGAGATTTGCATTTTGCTGCACAAATTCCTCCCCTTCTTTTGTCAGAACAAAGCCAGCCCATTTATCAGTTGCATTCATTTCTTCGGACTGAGCAAGAAGATAATACAAGTTGCTATAAACTTCCAGGTATGGCTCAGAACTGCAAACAACCAATGACAAATATCTGTTTGAGTCCATAGTCCAAAGTACTAGTAAATTCATTTGTTCCAAAATGCTGATCCCATAACTAACATATTTACCTTCCTTTTGATGATGCTTTCTGTTGTTTGAGGCTTCCGGGATCTGATAATAATATCTTTGTCATGGATTCCAAAAAGCCACTGGATCCTGCTTCCTCAGAGAGTTTGTCTTCATACATTTCAGGACCATCTAAGAACTTGTCTATTGCATTTCCAGCTAAAACATCATCTGGTGGTTGTGGAAAGTGCTTTCGTATAGCTCTAAGGACTCTTCGGAGTTTAATGAGCCCCGTTTTCTGAAAAAAAGCAAAATTGAGAGTTTTAAAATCATATATTATGCCTAGAGAGGAAAATATAACTATATATAACTGAAATAATACTTCTCGCGGAATAAGGAATTGGAGGAAGAGGTTTGATAAGTAGGATTTGATAAAGAGAAGACACGTAGCACTTACAGAAGAAGCTTTTGCATAGGGAAGTATATACTGAAAAACGTCAGCACACTGTTCCTTAGTTTGGTAATCACCCCGGCTTGTATTCTTATGCGCAGCTAAATCATCTTCATAAGATGCATCAGACCTTAGATTCAATCCATACAGA